TGGGAGGGAACGTTGTAAGAGCAAAGGCCCTGGGGCAAGAGTGAACATGGTATGTGTGAAGAGCAGGGAGCCAGTGGGGCAGCAGCCCAGAAAGGGAGGGACAATATGTGTCTGGGGGCAGAGGGAGGAGGGAGGTGACAGTGGCAGGGCAGATCCTGTAGGGCCTTGCAACCTGTAGCCTTTGGATTTTGCTCTGAGAGAAATGGGAAAACACTGAAAAGTTCTGCATAAGAACAACATGATCTAGCTAACATTTTAATAGGACAACTTTGGCTTGTTGAGAGCAGCCTGTAGGGGACTCCTCCTACACGCCAAGGCCATTCTAATAAGCCAGGAGAGGGGGTGGGGTCGCAGAGATGCTGGTGGAAATGATGGGAAGATATATATTGAATCAGAATCACTTATGGCTATAAACACAAAAGCATTTTAATTGTTTCCTTTCATTCCCAGGAAACAGAAAGGTCTAAGGTGCTTCCCATCAGAAAGCATTCTCAGCTGACTGTGTTTCCAGTCTGAAGGGTCCTTCCTGGGCCATCTATCTGTTCCTTTAAAAAACCTAATGTTTTTTATTATACAAATAACACATGTTCATCATAGAAACATTAAAAATGATAGAGAAGCACAAAGAATGACAGAAAAATCTGTCATAAGTCTACTACACAGAGAAAACCACCGCTGGCATTCTTGTGTATTTCTCTTCAGTCTGTTTAGTTCATGCATGCCTCTCTGTGCACACACACACTTTACGAAAAGTGGGATTATACTCTAACACTGTTTCATAATTTGTTTTTTCATTTAACATCGTATCATCAATGTCTCTTGATGGCATTAAATGTATTTCACCAAGATATTACTCTGTGACAGTTGAGCACTCCACTTTATGGGTGTGCCATAGTTTATGTAGCCAATTGGTGTCCATTTATGCTGTTCTCGATTTTTAAGCATACGTTATAAATGATTTGATAATGAATACCCTTGTAGTGAAACCTGGCAGCCATCTGTAATTTTTCCTTCTTTCAGGCATCTGATATGTCTCACCAAATTGCACTAAGTAGACTCATCCAGGAGCTGCTCATCTCTCCACAAACTCATCACTCATAAAAAAACAAAAACAAAAACCTTCTTTGTCACCACTTTTAAAAGCCGATATCAATACTGAAGTTTCAAATGGACAGAGCCCCTGCTTAAATGCTGGCCATCACCTGCTAAGAGCATTTCTCCACCTTCTGGGTCCTGTATTGTGATCATCAGGTTTGGGCTTTCCCGCTTGCCCTTTAATCTCAGTTCTGGAGATTGAATTTAGTTTGGTTGCATTTTAATATAAACAGAAGTTCTGAAGGTCACCTTGGTCACATATACAGGAGGGTAAATCACATTTGAAATACTGAAGGCTTGGAACAGAAAGGCAATAGGGGGCTCTGGAGCCAGTCAGTGTGGCCCCCCCTTAGGAAGGTGGGTGAGTAGCCTGTCGCCATGTAAATGGGTGTAATCAGACCTGTTAAGGCTGAGAGAGATTGGTCTGGGGTCCTATCTGGGTTGGTAGATGCCTGAGCCCATCCTCACCCACCTTCTGGGGCTGGCTGCGGCCTGTGACCCGGGAGAAGGGAAGCTGTGAGCGGGCCCATGACAGAGCCCATGGCTGTGATGGAATGGATGACACAGCCTGGCCTCTTCCGGGGCCCAGCCTGCCCACCTGATTGCTGCCAAATGACTCACCCTCGAGTTTCTCCGGTGACTGCTTGGGTCAGGGCCTGGACTGCAGCACCTGTTATTCGTGGGTGAGCTGGGGAGAGCCAGCTGCCCACGCTGTGGGAATGGGACACTCAGGTCACAGGAGTGAGATGCTGTGTCACAAGGGACCCATCCTGTCGTCTAGAACTGCCAGTCCCAATCCCCATACCATTTGTGTATTTTCCTATTATTCAATTTCTTAATATGCACACCCTTCCTCCTCTCCAAACAGTTATAGGTCATTTGTTTATTAAAGTAGAGCAGACTCATTTCATTGCACGCCTGGCGTGACTGGAGTTAGTCAAGGTGTCAGGAAACTGACACTGAGTATCGAAGGCCTTTTAATCTAGGAAAGGCAGTTCTGACCTCATCATCAGTGTACTCATGGCATTTTTAAAAACACCTGAGTTCCTCTGCATATACTCGCATTTAACCCTCACAGCCCCCTATGAATTAGGTGTTACTATCCCCACGTTCCAGATGAAAACACTGAGTCTCAGACAGGTGACTCAGTAAGCGACTTACCTGCGGCCACACCACTGACTTGTACTGCAATCCAGCCGACAGGAAGTCTGCATTCCCACCTCACCTCCTTACCCTGGCAAGTGCCACCGGCCTCAGAGAGCCACAGAGCAAAGGGCGCAAAGAGCACCGGGCCTGGGGGCAGAACACTGGCTTTGGGTCCTGGCTTTGCTTCAGATTGGTTGTGTGGCGGAGGGCACCTCACGGCACCTCCCTGGGCCTCAGAATCTCATTGTAAAATGAAGAGATTGGACCACCACTGCTTTCCACACCAACTCCCTCCCTTGCTCAACAATCTTGTCCAGTGTCCGGTGCTTGTGGGATCACATCCAAACTCAACCTGTTATTCAAGACCTTGCACTTCTGATCTGATCTTAGATTTCGGATGTTTTTTCCATCCCTACCTGTAAACCTTTATCCTAAGGTCTCCAATGTGCCCTTCACATTCCCATGTCCTTGACTTTGCTCCCCTCATTCTCTCACCTCCACGAAGCCCCCATCGTCCCTGCTGGACTGCCCTCTGCCTCTACACAACTCAACAGCTTGGCCACTTGGCCACTCAGAGAAGTTTCCCACCTCCTCACTGGTTGTAACCTTGTCGGTTTCTAGGGGCAGCACTTGCGTCCTCTGCATCCTGAGCGTGGAGGTCAGAGCCCTGCCCTTGGTAGGTGCTCAGGAAATGTTTGGGGCCTGAACTTCTGTTGCCTCCCCTGGGTGATTCATGTGTTGGCCCTCTTGACCCCCTCCAGGACTTGTGGCCTCAGCACTGTGGACATGCCTGAAGGGTCCCAGGGCGTCAGTAGGGGACTCCTCCCACTTGGGTCCCTCCAGGACCAAGCAGGCTTAGGGGTGAGAGGGGGACTCTCCTGACTGTCCGGATTTCCATCCCAGACCATGTCTGCAAATGGACATATGTGGCTGTGACCTGTATTCAGACCGGCTCATGAGATGAGGGAGACTTGATGAGGGCTCTTGAGACTGGATTTTGTGGCCACATTGCCCCCGATGTGTTTTCAAAGCTAAGCAGATGACAGTTTTAGGAACTAAGACAAGGCCATCAGGGAACCAGAGCTGCCAGGCCGAGCTGAAGTGCTGAGTCTCCTCTGTGTAAACGATTCTGCGATGCTTATCAAGCCCGAGGACTCGCGGCAGTGGTCTCTGCCGTCCCTGGCCCTTGACCCTTCCCAAGCTCCCCCGTGCCCCGGTTCCACATCATCCAACTCAGAGGCAACAGCAGGGCGAGTGTGTGTGCTGAGGGGACAGGTCTGCCTGGCTGCCAACAGCTGTGGCATCTGTCCTTGGGCATGGACCTTCGGGGAGCCACGGCCCGTCATTGCCATTCCTGCTGACGCTGCATGTGGACTAGCTTTGCTAGTGAGCTTGTGCTTTTTCTATCGGTCTCAATGTCACCTCACCTGGAACAGAATTATACTTAATCTTGTCTCTTCTGCCAAAGATACTATTCCTGTCCTGTGTACAGAGCCTCTTGGGGGGGGGTGTCTCCCCAACCTACATACCCCCTCCTTCTTTGTGCCACAGAACCCGGTTGATCAGACCAAAGCAGATACCCAACCCACTCTGCCCAATCAGATTTCCTTGTGGAATGAGCGTCAGAGAGAGACAGCCAGACAGAAGTCGCCATGTCTTCTATGACGTAGTCTCAGAAGTCACACAGTATCACCTCTGCCACATTCTATTCAACAGAAGTCACTGTGTCTAACTCTCCCTCAGAGGGAGAGGCTTTCGGCTCCTCTTGAAAGAGTATCAAAGAATTTGTGGCCTATTTGAAAACCACCACAGCATGGAACTGAGCAAGGAAGTGTTCCCAAGAGTTTGGGGGTTTGGGAGTCAGGGGACAGCGTCTGAGGAGTCCCCTGCCGTGGGCAGACTAACAACCCCTGAAGATGCTATGTTTTAGAACCGGTGACTATGTTATGTCAGATGGCAAAGGGGAAAGAGTTTGCTCATCGACTGACCTTAACGTAAGGAGACCATCCTGCATTTCCAGGTGGGCCCGACGTGCTCACAGGGGCCTTAAAAGTGGGCGCAGGAGGCAGAGGGAGAGCCAGGGTCAGAGTGACGCCCAGTGAGACGGACTCGACTGGCACGCTGGTTTTGAAGATGGAAGGGGCCGTGGAGGGATGCAGGCAGCCTCTGGGAGCTGAAAAGGCAAAGAAGCATTCTTCCCGAGAGCCTCCCAGAGGGACGCAGGCCAGCCAGTGCCTGGACTTTGGCCCAGAGGGACGCATCTTGTGTTGTCTCCAGGCACCAGCTGCCACAGCAGCAGTGAAACTGCGCAGGGCTGTCCTGGCCCATTCCTGCCCCATTCCTGCTTTCATCACATACTTATTTGCCTTACTTATGGTCCAGATTTGCAATGTAAATGTTTACCATCTCCTTTAAAACTATAAGTTCCTTGAGGGCCAGCCTATGTTTTCTTTTGGGTTTTTTTGTTTTTAAATGTATATCTAAAGCACTCAGTACATCGCTCACCACTACATAGCCACGAAATACTTGCTCAGTTATTTGCTAGACTGTCTAAAAGTCTAAAAATTGAAGCAGCCAATTTGGCAAAGAGATGAAACAAGCAAGAGCTGGTGTGAAATAAAATATGAGCGCCCATGAGCTTCTCTTCCATCAAACTGGAGCCAAGAATCACACCCAGGGCAGGGCTGTTCGTTGAAATCCTGTTTTCTCCGTACCTTTCTTAATTCTCACTTCGAGCTAGCAGCCAAGCCTTGTCTTCCCTAGGTAGAGGATTTGGGGCATGACAGAGTGCCCCTGTGGCAGGTCACTGGCTCCTCCCCACCTCTGCAATGGCCTAAGGCCTCTGAAGGGATGCGTGTCCTTTTGGTGGGGAGGAGGGAGGAAACCGGCCAAAGTGTAAGGAGGGTGGGTCCTCGGAGCCCAGGGGGGCCCACTCGGCACTGGGCCTGAGTCCTCTTGCATGCTAGACCCTGGGCCTAGAGGTTCCCCACATGACCCCAAGCTCTCGGGTCCGCCCCCCACCCCTAATACACATAATGCAGGAGCCAAGAACGTTGAGGAGGCAGGTAGCTAGGGCAGTGGGGGTGTCTCCCATGGCCACATAGAAAGGCATCTGACCTGGGACCCTTGCAGAACAAGATGGAGTGGAGGGAGGCAGTGGGGAGGGAGATGACCCCAAGGCTGACCAAGATAGAATTTCCCACTAATCCACCAGGAAGCAGGAGGAGGGGTTGGAGTCAGAAGCACGCTGATTTAGAACAAAGACAGTTACACTCTGCATACGCAAGTCTGGCGACAACCCCTTTGGCTTTCAATGAAGCTTTAATCCGGGTGGAGGCAGGCCTGGGGCGGGGTGGCGTGGAAGGGGCAACAGGCCTCTACTGTGCAGCTCAGGAGAGGGGAGAGGGTGAAGCGGAGCTCTGGTGGGTTTCGCGGCGGCGCCAAGTTGGAGGCGTGTCCTTAATCGCATAGAAGTCAAGGCACAGATACATCAGAATGCAGCTCCAGATGCCAAGGGTGAGGAGGATGCCCAGGCCTGGTGTGGGCGTCGTCTGCTGCTCGGGGAGAAAGGCAGGCGCCTGAGGCAGGGTCAGGGCAGCGGCCGGCTGGCATCCTCCCCCCACCGGAACCTCTAGCAGCAGCCTCCAGGCTGATCTACCTCACGTCCTGCCTCCTGGTGCCACGTCCCCCAAGACTGAGAGCATATGAGGGGGGCAGAGTCTGCACAGGCGCAGCTGAGGGCTGAGGCCGATGCACCCTGAGCCCCTGCCTTTGGGATGACAGGGTACCAGCTGGGACAAGGCACATCTCGGATGGGTCTACCTACCCCTGATTGTGGCTGTTCTTTAGGGCACACAACATACATTTCTCCTGCAGAGGACAGAAACGGCACAAGATCGGTCATTTTTCCCTGGCCCAACACGGCCAGACTGCTGGGCACCTTGTCAGGTTTTGCTATGGGACAGGACAGAACAATACAGTGGCACTTGGGGGCAGGCACATCCAGGGTTGAGCCCTACTTGGTCATGACTTAGGAATCTCCCCAGGCCTAGAGGGAAAGACCCCAGAGAGGGCTTCAGGCTCCAGGGCCTCCCGGGCCGCGGATGGTGAGACCAGTCCCCTTAGGGCTTGTGGTACCAGAGGGAGGAGCGGCCCAGGGCGCAGCTCCCCAGCAGCGTGGGGCTGGGGTTCACTCACATAGCAGGTCCCACATTGATGAAGGGAGTCCAGCGGGTCCTTTTTGAGTTTCTGCAGTGCCATATTCTTCTTGTGAACAGGCAACGCCATTCCGTCAGCTTCCTCTAGCTTCTTGAGCCGGATCTGCGAGTCTGGGTCAGGCTTTCTCACCTGCCCGAGTTCCTGAAGCTCCTTTGGGCCCCGCCTAAGGGGACTGGGAGTCAGGCAGGGGCGGAGTTGGGGAGACAATTTCCGACACCCATAGCACGGTGGCCGGTGGCCGTGGAAGGCCTTGACTCCAAGCCAGGGGGCCACGGAAAGCGAGACAGCCTCTCAAAGGGTCTGAGAGTCCTCTGAACCCCAAGGGCATTGAGCAAAGGGAAGGGGAGACTCTTCAGGGAGGAGGGAGGGGTGCAGGTTGTACTTACAGCTTGTTGTTCTTCTGTATATTTATTAAAACATCCATCTTCTCATCCATATCCTTCTGCATCTCCTTCAGGAGAGAAGTCAAAGCTGGAATCTACATCGCGAAGGGCTCTGAGGTCCCTTCCTCCTGCCTCTCTGCAAACCACTCAGAGGTCACACCTCGGCCTCTTACTTCCTCAGAGTCCTCACCGGCCTTGGGTAAGGGGGTTTATGGGGTGTCCATGACACGGGCTGCCCCCTCCCCTCCCCCACTCCACATTGAGGCTGAGCAACAGGTAGAGCCATCAGGGGCTTGTCCGAAGACTCCAGGTGAGTCAGAGGCCGGGAACTGTTTTACCTGAACTCACACTTGGATGAAACCATTATCAGCCTCAGTTCTATGCCTATAAAACGATAGAACCTAGAAGACAAATTATGTGACACCCCCCAAAAGACACTTTGATTCCAACGTTTGGACCCCTGCCACGCACCCAGATACTGTATATTTGTTCACTCCATCTTTTACCCAATTCCTGGAAGAAATGGTCAACACAACATCAAACTGACAGTGTCTCAAACGGCACCTCACGTTTATTATTTACTAAGAACTGAAAGGATAGTAAAATCTTCTCGGCAAAGTTTAGATCTATACATTTGACCTGGGAAAACTGGATAGGAATAGTGGTCATAAAAGAAATTCTGAGATGGCAGATAGTATCAGAGACAATATTTGTTATCGACATAACAGGGTTGGATCAAACATCATAAAATGTAAACTAAAAATAATTAGCTTAAAGGAAAATAATTTTAATTTAAAAAATGAAAGATCTGGAAACAGTTTACTGAAGGGCAGTAAAAACTTGATCAAGAAATCATACTGTGTGATTGGGGAGAAAAAGGGGCCTCTGTACTATTTTAAATGAAAATAAACACACACACACTAAGAAATCATACTGTCTGGGTGGAGATTATTTCAAAAAGTACTTTCTTGGAAAGCATTTTTAAATGTTGCTATAAATTTTGAATAAAATATTTGTATTCATAAGTAGAGTCAAAATATCCTTGAAGTCAAACTTCCCCTGGGTCCAAAAAATCAGAGTCAAAACATCCCATATTCTCACAAGTCTCCCCATCACTTCAAAGGCCTCATGTCCCAAAGTGACTTCTTCATTGTCTCTTCTAAATCAGTTCTGTTTCCCTACTACCCTTGTCATTGTCACCACTTTCTTCTAATCACACAGATGCAAACTTGGGTGTCATCGTGGATTCTCGCCTCTCCTTCATTCTCCATAGTGAATCGGTCACCAAGGATGCTATTCTTCCTCCGATGCATCTTTCCCATTCGCCCTCCCCTTCAGTTCCTGCGCCTGGCCCAGCTCTCTTCACCTCCAGCCCCTTGCGGCTTCCTGTCAGATATTTTTGTTCCAGACGACCCCTCCCTGCTCCCCGGGGCCCCGGCCACCTTGCAAACAGCTGCCGACTGGCTCAGCTTTCTGAAATGCTGCTCCTTGCATGCTCTTTGATTAACAGTCTCCAGAGGCCCCTTGCTGCTTACACAGCCAAGTCCCAACCTGCCTGCGTGTCTTTCAACAGCCTTCATTACCCGCCGCCTGGGCGCCCCTTCCGTTTTATTTCTCACAGTTTCCCCCAAAGATCCCCCTTTTATGACTGATCTCCCCACAGGCCGCGATCCGCTTCATGTTCCTCCTGCCTCCACGCTGTGCGCAAGCTGTGCCTGCGCCCGAAATAGCCTCCTTTGTGCCTTTCAGGCCCAGCCCTGCCCACCAACAGAATGCTCGCTGTTCGCGTCTCACTACAGAAATAACACTTGCCCTTTGCAGAAAATCTGGATAACACGGAAGAATAGAAAAGAAAAAATGATCATCACCTAGAAACAACAATAACCATTTTGGTATATTTCTTTCCAGTCTCTTTCCTGTATGTTCATTTACCTATTGTTTCCCCTTTAGTTGAGATCAGCCCGCGTGCGTGACTTGTATCTTGCTTGGTTCACTTCTCATTATAAGCACTCTTTCTGAACTGTCTCTGACAGATCCTAAGTTTCATTATATGGGCATTCCATAATTTAGTTTGCTATTTATCTAGTGGTAAATTTGTGGTTATTTCCAAGTTTTTCTAACTGTTCTCAGAGGTTAAACTCTGAGAAGTGGAACTGATAAGTCAAAGGGTTTGGACGCTTTTTAATACCTACGGTCTAAGTCTTTCTCAGTTCTGTACAAACCTGAACTCTGGCCAGCAGTACAAGAGCATTCCTATCCTATTCTGTAATTGTCATAAATAAAGAGTTTGTTTGAATGTGACACTTATCTAATCAGTGTTTTCATTTGCATTTATTACCCACGAGGTAAACTCTTTTAATATTTGTTTGTTTTTTTTAGTTATATTCTCTTCTGTGCATTGTTTGCTTTTTAATTGTTTATGGTGCTTTTCTGTTATAGTTTCAAAATTTTTTGTTGTTAAATATATCAACATTTCCTTTGTGATTTCTCCTGTTCTATTTATGCTTAGAACATCTGGTTAAATACTTATATATGTTTTCTTCTTATTGGTTTTTAGTATTTAAATTCACTTTGTAGTCCATGTTATTTTATAGAGTTAGCTGAATTAAGTCTTTTCTTTATACAGTCAAGCGATGTTAATATTACTTACATAATCCTTTCTGTCTCTCTGGCCTTTCAAAAACCATCTTCATCGTATTTTACATTTTATAGGGCTGGGGTTCCCAAACTAGAATCATGTGGGGATCTTTAAAAAATACTGGCCCTGGACCTCATCCCAAGGGGTTCTGATGTAATTGTCACCGGTGCAGCCTGGGTCGAAGGGGGCAGGTCAGACCCACAGTCCAGGCGATTCCAATGTGCAGCCAAGGCGAGTAACTACTGCAGCAGTGCTGAGGACATGGTCCTCAAACCGGGGCGAGCATCACATCACAGTCACTCGGAGCTTTAAGCAACTGTGTCCCACCCTGATCACGTGGGCGGGGCCTGGGCATATGAACTTCAGAAATCCTCACAGGTATTCTCATTGCACCCCTGCAGAGAGGCTGTTACAGGGGTATCCTCGGGCAGTACCACCTTAATTAGATTACTGTGCCTTTATTATGCACTTTAATATTGAGTAGGGGCAGTTACAACTCTTGAAAATTTACAGATATCTGCTTTTGCCTATAATGCTTCTACCTCGATGGCTCTCAAACTTTCACCAGGAGAACGTGAAAAAAAATACAAGGTTGGAAGTCCCATCGAAACAGGACCTGGGCTCTGTTTTGTTTATTTGTGCTGGTGATTCTGCAACACACCAAAGTCTGAGAACCACGATTCTAGAATCTAGATAATCCTCCTAGTGATTGTTGAGCTCAAAAATGGTCCTACTGGGCTTTTGGTAAGATTTGCATTAAGTTTCCAATGTAGCCTTCAAGGCTCAGCCGAAGTCTCCCTTTCTCTATAAGGATGTTCCTGGTTATTACAGACCACCTTCATTACTCACTTTTCTAAACTCTTAATTAACTGATACCCAGTTATCATTTAGTTTGTTGTTTACGTGGTAATTCGCAATAGAGTCTGGGGTATCTCTTTCCACAAATCCTAGTATGGTACTGGCCCAAGGAAGGCGCTCAGTAAATGCTTACCTTCATAATCTCCACAAATTCCTGGAGTTTATCAAAATCCTTGTCCATCACGTCTTTTATCTAACAAGGGAGAAAGGCACAGAGCATATTACTGACTGTGGAGTAATCTCTGGGGTATTTTAAGCAAAGGGCAACAGCTGTTCTGCTGGAGTCAGCTGGATCAAGCTCAAGGAATGGACAAATAATGGCCCATTGAAGCCACTTTCTTCCCAAGGGGTCAATGAAGGGACTTGGGTGCAGGTAACATAAAGTCACCACCACCACCACCAGCCTTGGTACAACTTAGATCTGGCAGCTTCGATTACACCTTCTTGTGGGAGCATTCCCCTTCTTTGGAAGGATGCCCTAGGTGGTCCCATAAAAGAAACAAGAGGAAAGGTCTTGCTCTGCAGCTTGCCCAAGGGAGGTAAGAAGAACTGAACTGGTCCCTGACTGCCCCCAAATTCCAATCAGCTCCTCTCTGTCACTAAAGTTACATTTCCCCAACCTTATCCATAAGGCACCTTAGAGAATCCTTACCATCCAAACACGGGCTTGAGCATCAAACCAGAAGTAGGTATCCTAAGCTGCCGGCACTTAACTGCTCTAGGGGACTCGGGCTGAGCCCGTCCAAGAGCTTTTCCCATCCCACTCCTAACACCCCCCCCCCCC